GGAGAATGGCGACTCCATCCCCAGACTGGGTTGATGGGTTGAAGACGTTTCGGAGCCGCTCAGGTAGACCTGTTTGCCTCTCCAGAAACCTCTCACTGCCAGTTCCCTGGCCGAGACGGGCGACCCAGAGATAGAGGGAGTTGCTCTTTGGGAGATGGTGAACGCACCACTACCTCCCCCGGAGGAGGGCCGGGCGGAGAATCTTTTGTTTCCTCGTGGTCAGTGGTACCCAAATACCACTGACCGCCCAAATACTCGACAAAAGAGCAATTTCTCGCGACAGCCCCTCCTTGGCCGATTCCTCTGAGGAAGGATCTACTGACTCAGAGAAGGGGCACCCTTTGGCCCCCTCGTCCAGACCTCTGGAAACTCCATGTCTGGTCCCTAGACGGGACGCGGAGGTTCTGAGTGACCTACCTCAAGAGGTAGTCGACACCATCACTTCAGCGAGAGCACCATCTACGAGACACACCTACGCTTTGAAGTGGAACCTGTTCGTTGAGTGGTGTTCTTCTCGACCCCCGAATATGCCCGATCAGTGTTGTGCTGTCCTTTTTGCAGCAAGGGTTGGAGCGAAGGCTGTCTCCCTCCACCCTTAAAGTTTATGTCACTGCAATCGCTGCTAACCACGACCCCGTAGAAGGGAGGTCGCTGGGGAAGCATGACCTGGTCGTCAGGTTCCTTAAGGGGGCAAGAAGGTTAAACCCACCACAGCCCCCCTCTATACCCTCTTGGGACCTGACTCTAGTGCTTACAGCACTACAACAGGGTGTAATGCATTACTTTTAAAAGTAACTTTCCCCAACACTTGTTATGTTTAAAAAGTCTGTTTATGATAAATACAATCTAATAAACCGTATGTTGTAGCATGAAATACGTTTCATAATTATGCAGCATAAATTCTGCACAGTAACAAGACAATTCATATAACATTTACATTAAAAAAAGGAACTGGATCACTTGTTTCACTTCAACCCTGAGGTTTAAAGTTTGGAAATTGTGTGTTTAACAAGTAACTGGCGCCACCACCTGCTCTATTAATATTAAACAGCTAGACGTATGATGTAGAATTATAAATAAAGATGGCAAGAAAAGCTATATGTTTTAAAATAATCTTATTTTCCTAAAGATTTTTGTTCTAAATAGACAATAATTGATCTTTCATTCAAGCAGCCTAAAACCATTGCACTTACTGATGATTGATCCTTTGCATAATCTACTATGTTAAAAAAAATATAAAAGTTATCACATACAGTCGGTTCACCCAGAATGTTTTCAAAAGAATGATCATTTACAACTTAATATGTGTATTTTTAATACATCCTAATGAATTCTCAGGTAATTTAAACCTATTGGAATACAGTATTTCGACGTCACCCAGTTCACTCTCAGCAGCCAATCCCGTGCCCCGCTCGCCGTGCGTTGCAAACGCGTCAGCCAATCAGAGCGAACCTGCAGGAATACTCTCACGCCATTGGTTCGCGATGTCAATCCGGGCTCCGTCGTAAAGCCAGTTTAGTAGCCGAAAGGTACCAAGATGGCGGAGGTAAGTTGGAAAATAGGGGGAAGGTGTCATATTTTAGCCGTTAATTTCTCTTTCCACAGTACATTAGTTTGGGATTTCTGTATCTGATTACGTGTAATAATGTCTTATCTCTGAATAAAGGCCGATTTTGTGGCGATACGAACGGTTTTGGACGTCCAAACGAGTGTTTGAAGCGTCGATGGGGCCTCTTTTAGCGTCGAGCGTCCGTATGTGGCGTCAGCTCAGGACCGTGAGGCAGCTAGTTTATTGTATTTCGCGCTTTTCTCATATTTTTACTTTTCTGTTATTCCCGTTTTATCGATTAAATACTTCTGTGTGGCTTCAGAGGGATTTTTTTCGTTGCTGCGGTACCGGATTGATGCTGTGAAGTGACGACATCAAACCGTTTATTTTTTGGTCCTATTTTAAAATAAAATATATGTATTAATTTATAATACCTCATGGCTGTGTTTTGTTTAAGAGACTCGGAAGCTCTGAATAAATAGTAAATATTGCTTTGGTTTTTTTAGTGACCCTCACAAACTGCTTCTGTTGTATATTGTGTATCATTTTCAAATATAAATTATATTAATAAAAAATAAAAATAGTCACTTATTTAATTTTTTTAATGAATCATTTTTGTTAATTTAAATATTTTTTTATAGTCAGTGACAGTTTTATTAATTTTAATTAAATTGATTTCATCTTCTTTGGTCTGTCATCTGGGGAAGCATATTATTAATATGAATTAATATTCATATTTTTGTTGTTTACAAACAAGTACTATGGTAACGGTACTATAAAGTCAGCTTTACTACAGTATGGCTCAAGAAAAACTAAATTAAGGTTTTGGAGTGGCCAAATCAAAGTCCAGACTTAAATCTGATTAAGATGCTTAAACAGTCCATTCATGCTCGAAAACCCTCCAATGTGGCTGAATTAAAACAATTCTGCAAAGAAGAGTGGGCCAAAATTCCTCCACAGCAATGTGAAAGACTCATTGCCAGTTATCGCAAACACTTGATTGCAGTTGTTGCTGCAAAGCGTGGCACAACCAGTTATTAGATTTAGGGGGCAATTACTTTTTCACGTAGGGCCAGATAGGTTTGGACAGCTTTTTTCCCTTAATAAAATAAATAATCATTTAAAAATTACATTTTGTATTTACTTGCATTATCTTTGTGTAATATAAAAATTGGTTTGATGGGAGCCAACACTTTTTCACACCACTGTGTGTGTGTGTGTGTATATATATGTATATATATATATATATATATATATATATATATCAGATCAAATATATATTTTTATAAATACAACTTTATTTATTTATGTATATGTGTGTGTTTGTGTATAATGCATATAATTAATTATCAATTATATAAGGTTACACTTTTTTTTTATTTGATTTGATCTCTTTAGTTGGCTCTTTGTCATCGGAAGATCACGATTTTGACCCGACAGCAGAAATGCTGGTGCATGATTTCGATGATGAGCGTACGTTAGAGGAAGAGGAGATGAGGGAGGGTGGATCAAGCGGGAGCTTGGAAATCGCTGATCTGGAGAAGGTTTCTATTTTATTTTTATATTGTGGCTGATTACAAATTTGACCAGGCTGACATTGTAAAAACAAAACTTGTGTATATTATCACCGTATGAATATCAGTTAATATTATCTAGCACTGATGTAATCACACACATTCTTCATCTGTAGTTTGCTGAATTGTTTGCAGTGATTAAGTGTTGAATTAAAGTTCTGTGTCACAGGAGGGGAGCATGCCGTTGGAAGAGCTGCTGGCATTATACAGATATGAAGCTGCAGACAGCGCTGTCGGAGGCTCGAGTGCGGACAGCTCGTCTGTAGAGCTGACCGATGAGCTGCCCGACATGACGTTAGATAAAGTAAGTCACTAGAATAGAGTAGTTGTAATGAGATCTTAAGATTTGTTTTTAAAAGTCTCTTTTGCTCACCAAGGCTGCATTTATTTGATCAAAAAACAGTAATATTGTAAATTATTATTTCTTATTTAAAATAACAGTTTTCTAATGGAATGTGACCCTGGACCACAAAACCAGTCATAAGGGTAAATTTCACTAAATTGAGGTTTATACATCTGAAAGCTGAATAAAAAAAGCTTTCCATTGCTGTAAGGTTTGTTAGCATAGGACAATATTTGGCCGAGATACGACTATTTGAAAATCTGGAATCTGAGGGTGCAAAAAAATCTAAATATGCCTTACGGTCCGGCACGCATTTGATCTGCGGATTAATTGCAAAAATTAACCATAATAGAGTGAAAGTTTATCAATATGTATGCGTTTATGCACTGAAGTGATTTTAAACCGAACTGAATCCTCTTTTGCATCTCGTTGCGTTTGAACAGACACGTAAAATTATGACAAAATACCCGTCTTGACAATGATTCTGGTAAACGCAGTCGGTTATGTCTTAAAGGGGTCATATGATGCTTTTTTAAAGATCATTATTTTGTGCAGCGTCTCCCTGACATGCTGCTTCAACACTAACTGCGGTTACTGAAACCACGCCTTCTTTCTTTGCGTGCACATTTGGGCGCATTATGCTAATATTTCCACATAGTGAGGTAGATATGTGGGGGCGTGTTAGAACGAGGCGTTTTAGGGGGGTGTGGCAGAGTCTTAACTTTGATAAAGAATATCTCTTTGGTTTTGAGACTTTAGTCTTTGCAACTTCAGGGATCTTATCTATGCACAATCAGCTTGTAACACTCCAAAGAGAAAGGAAAACTTGAAATCGCATCATATGACCACTTTAAGTGAACGAAAACAGCGGAGAAAGAAATCAGATGTGCATTATTATATAGGATCCGTGCATCAGGTCTTAAAGGTACAGCAGCCTATAAATACCTGCTGCTGTCTTTACAAACAACAAAACACAGCTTTGACAAAGATCAATCTATATTTAATTTATACAGTGAACACTATGCAGTGTTGTTTTACACTTAATTATTACATTTCTGTACCTGAATACTACTGATCTTATTTTAATTGTTACTTTGGTCTCTTGTATTTATATGCTTGTAATTGGTGTATTTGCCCTATATTTTTATTGGCTGTTACCTTGTCTTTGATCTTTCTTAGTTAGGTTAGTAGATTTTGCTATGGTATAGAAGGAGTACTTGGCTTCAAGTAATAAATGGAAAGCAAAGTTATATTGATTTTTTTGTTGTTGATCTTATAATGATCCGATCCGTGACTCAAAAACCGTGATATGATCCGAACCGTGAGTTTTGTGATGTGTTGAACCACTACTGTTCATTGACGTTGTTACATGTCCTCTTTTCTCGCAACAGGAGGAAATCGCTAAAGATCTGCTCTCTGGAGACGATGAAGAAACACAATCTTCTGCCGATGACCTCACACCGTCTGTGACGTCACACGAAACCAATGATTTCTTCCCCAGAACTCTTCGCTGTAAGCACATAGACATTGTTTGTGTACATTTGACATCGCTTATGAAAGTGCAGGTTATGCTCCAGTTTCCATTAGAGTATCTGATTTTCTGTAGCGCTCAATTTTGTTGTTTGTTTTCCAGCGAATGTGGTTTACGATGGAGACAAAGAATCTGAGGGCGAGGATGATGGTTTGAGTCCTGAAGACTCGCGCAAGGTGAGGAAAATCACTTTTTCTATAGACTTTGTCATTGTACTCTACAGTAAGAAATATTAAATGATTTACCGTCATATTCAAAGTTTGAGTTCAAATGGCGTTGTTTCCTATCATTTATGTGTGTCGGACAAAGTTGTAAACCTGCTGAAGATCCGTGTATATTTTATTAATTTGTGTTTTCACAGGAAATCATGGTGGGATCTGAATATCAGGCAGAAATTCCTGCTCTTACCTGTTATAATGACCAGGAAAAATGTGAGTCTTTCATATTTAAATGGAGTAAGTGCAGATTTGAGTCAATATTTACATAAATTAGGTGTCACCTGTGTTAAATACAACATGAAATGCCTTTGACATTGTATAAATGTATTTCTTCGTGAAACAGAATATTCTGTGCAAAATAATGTAGGCTTGGGTTTATTCATTGGGATTTGATTGGTTGGGTTAGGGTTAGGGTTATTGGCACAGCTTTAATTCAATGTGTTTGGAGATGTATTAGACTGTGATAGAAATGTTCCTGTTATGTGTTTTTCAGTGTACACCGAGGAAGATCAGCTGCTTTGGCAGCCGGACATGTTGCCCGAGTCAAAAGTCAAAAGCTTCTTGCAGGATGCTGTGGACGGAAAGATGGATGGAGATGGCAAATGTTCTCTGGTCAAAGACAACGAGCAGGTGAAGATCATAGATCAGTAGTTTTACACAAACCAAACACATTCGTTACACTTGAGGATGGATGGAGATGGCAAATGTTCTCTGGTCAAAGACAACGAGCAGGTGAAGATCATAGATCATAGGGCTGTTAATTATGTCCACTAAATAGATTTGAACACTTCGGCACTCATAGCGCTGTTATCAGTAACACTTAACCCTGTAAAGCCTGACAACAATGGTCAGATTTTTTAAAAAGGGGACATAACACAGTTTCTGCCAATAAAATGTCATGTTACTCTTGAGTACTTGTAGAGTAGCATTGCATCCTTCATATCTCCGAAGGGTCTATAGTTTCATCAGATTTCTAAAAGACACATACAGCTTTCTGTTACGAGCAAGCAAAGCTTTTGCATAGCGATCGTCTGCAAGCTGTGACATCGATATAAATAAAACGGGAACAAAAACTTTATTGACTTCAATTTTATTTAATTTGTTTATAAAACATTCATCACTGAAATGCCGGGAACAAACAAACACACTTGCACAACTCCGGAGAAACAAACTGCTTCCACTGTTCACGTAACGCTGGGTTCTGTGGGAAGCTGAACGAGGTTATCTTTCCCTCACAACCAAAAACACACTTCTTTGGTGACACTGTTGATTTCGTGGTCTAAAAACAAAATGTCAAATCCTTCTCGAGCAAGTCCTGTGCAGCGCTGCTGATGGCTTCCAGAGCTCACCATGGCTGCAGTTATTTGATCAAAAATACAGTACAAACAGTAATATTGTGAAATTATTTAAATTCATAGTAACTGTTTTTCTATGCGAATATAGTTTAAATATAATTTATTCCTGTGATCAAAGCTGAATTTTCAGCATCATTACTCCGGTCATATTTTTTTATGTGGAAACCATAATATATTTATGTATGTATGTATGTATGTATACATGTATGTATATTTATATATATTTTTTAATAAATGCTTTTATTCAACAAGGACAAATTAAACTGATCAAAAGTGCCAGATAAGACATTTATAATGTTTCAAAAGATTCTATTTCAAAGAAATGCTGAACTTTCTATTCATCAATGAATCCTGAAAAATGTAATTTATTATGGTTTTCACAAAAATATGAAGCAGAAAAAATACTGATAATAAGAACCATTATTAAATAATTATTATTTATTATTATTAAAACCTGTTTGTTTTCTCCAGGCGTTATATGAGCTTTTGAAGTGTAACTACAACGTCCATGAAGCTCTTAAACGGTATCGCAGCAAAGACAAATCCTCAAAGGGTGAGTGGAAATATTGCTGTTGTTTTGTTACAGCAGAGTTGTTGAATTAAGTGTTGAAAAATAAACTAATATAAATGTAATTTAGACGAGATGCTCCCGTGGTCTGAAGAAGAATGCCGAAATTTTGAACATGCTCTTCTGTTGTACGAGAAGAACTTCCACCTCGTTCAGAAACACAAAGTAAGACGGTGTCTTTTCTCTTGCATTTTTGAACGGTTGTCTTAGATATTTAAATGCAGTTTTGAGTCAGTATTTACATAAATCAGATGTCACTCATGTTAATTACAACATGAAATTCCATTAACATATTGTATACATGCTTTTCTAAGTGAAACGTATGAATTTTCATAATTATGATGAATGTTCTATGGAAAATTATGTAGGGTGGGTCTTTATTTTTTCCATTGGGATTTGATCGGTTTTTGATTTAGTCTTTTGACTAAAATGGCATTTAGTTTGTCATATTTTAGTCATCTGAATTGTTTTAGTCGACTAAATCTGCAGTAGGCTAAAATCTAATAGGTTTAGTTAGTGTAATGCATTTATTAAGCATTTCTCTAAAATTTTCCAAACTCATTATATAGGTTTTATCATGCAATATAGACACATATTTAACTGCTGTGACACACACAACATGCCTTTTATATTGAAATGAAATAAAACCACTTCTCATAAAGAAACAAGAACATGATACTCCTTTCAATTAAATACCAATGTTATATATTCATTCTTTATAACAACTTGCCTCATTCTTTCAAGCAGATATATTTATTTATTTATATAAATACATTTAGATCAATCCTTAAGTCAGGGGCTGGGCAAATTGTTTTTCTTTTTTTTTTCACCCTCCATTTATTGTTATTGAATGAATATTGGGGCGAAAAAAAATATATATATATGTGAAGGACCTAGGCAGGGCTTCAGATTGCGACTAAAATGGTCGCATTTGCGACCAGAAATATTAATTTGTGATATTTTTGTTGAGATCGCCACTGGCGACTATATAAACTTACATGTTATGACTTAAAAATTTGCATGTAATGCCTTTTTTCTTGCTTGTCTTGCGATCACATCTTTTCTTATGCTGACGTAATAAACCGAGACGATACGCAAAGTTTTAGTGGAAAAAAAGACTTTCAAACAGTCCTCATCTCTGCCGAACAGCAGCGTTGACTGCACTCTTGCTGAAAGCAGCTCCAGCTGTGCAGCACGAGAGAGCGAGAGTGACGGAGATGTGTGAAGTACAAGTGCAGAAAAGCAGTGTCTATTTCGTGCACAACTTGAACAAACTTCAACAGGTAATGCTGTCAGCTGTGTGGATATTAACAATTCTCGTTTATAATCGATACTAATATGGCTTCTTGTTATCAGGATCTTTAGTCTATATGCTGTATTTTGTTAATGCATGAGCTTCATATTTGTAGCGCGCTTGCGTCCAATAAATAAATAATAAATAATGTCACTAAAACAAATTCCTCGTACATGTAAACATACCTGGCAATAAAGCTCATTCTGATTCTGATCATCACAATAAGCTTTGTGCTCTGTAGTAGCGGTGTGCGATATATATCGTCTGCGATAATATCGTAATTGTTGTTTTAACGATGTGCGATTTGACATTATCGAGTATTTTGCAAAAACCATTCAAAACATCCCTACAGAGCACACGCATACATTACGTGAAGTCTAGACTAGTGCGTGTGCATTTAGAGTGCGTTCTTTCACTGCATGATTCAGGCTATTAAAATGCATTTAGAATGATCACAAATTCAAGACATGATGGCAGAAAATTTATATATTTATACCACTTCATATAGTTATTCAATTTCACACGAAGAGTGCCGGTTTTCTCCAAAAAATACCATGATTACAAATGTGACATTGAATTCAATAAACAATAAGTTAATTAAGAGACTTACGTTTTAGACACCATATTGCTTGTTTTTGCTCTATTTCGCCAAGAAAAATCATCCCGAATACAGCCACAGCGCTGTTTTGTGTCTCTGAGCAACATGACGGTGTTTCGTTCTTGAATGAAGCAACCGTTTAAATGATTCGCTTCAATCGCAATAACTCACTTATTAACAGTGATTTGCTGCCACCTGCTGGCGGGTTTAATTTCAAATTTTTTTATAGACTTTTTTTCATGTTTTAAATCATTTCAAATATCAGTATTCAACGTTTTATGTTTAATATATCAAAACATTATTTATGCATTTGTAATTGCAGGTTAAATGCATTCATGTCTTGCATTAAACAAAATACATGCGTGTAAATGCATCTAAATGCCACTTCAGATGCAGCTTCTGTGTTGATTTAATTTGCTTGGTAACAGCCCAAATGTCTTATTATTCTAATCCCTGATTAAATGTAAGAATTTGACTCAAAAGATAATGGACACTTCTAGAAAAAATGGCTTTATAAAGGTATTTTTTCTATCAGTATGAACTGACCACCACACAGAATGACGAATATTAAAAACATTGAGTCAGCTGTCTTCGGCAGTCCTTAAGGTACCAGCACAATAACACACTCAGCAAAATATCGTCTAATTATCGTCATCGATAAAATCCCAGAAAATATAGAGATTATTTTTTGTCAATATATCGCACACCCCTACTCTGTAGGTATTTTATAAGATACAGTCTTCCTGAAAGACCTCATGTAATCGCTCATTCAGTGTTTCAAACTATGACACTTAATACACTGGATGTGTGACGTATGACAACATTTATAGGATCCATTGAGGAGCCGCCCAAACTACACTCAGTGACCAAGTGATGCTGATATAGTTATGGTCTGTGATATCAGCACAGGTTCTGTGTAATAAACAATTCTTTGTGACTGAATATAGTTCAAGTTGGAAAAGACTTCAGTTGCCACTTTAAGTGAACCTTAGTTCCCAGGACATCTTCAAGATGGATTGAAATGCTGATGCTGTAAAAGGAGGGGAGATAAACACATGACAGTATGACTGAAATGTTAAGGTGTTTAAAAAAAAATAATAATAATATAGCTGCAAGCACTTAAAGCATTTAAGCAAATATGAAAAAAGACAGTACGTGTTATTTAGCAAGCCTGTAACCACCTAATTCAATGATTTAAAAAAGGCATTTTTGGCAAATCCAGCTAATTACCATAGAAATATTATGATTTTTAACATTTATGACTGTTATAGCGCCACCTATGGTCGATATTTAATGAACGATTTGATTGACAGCATTAGTCCCAGAGGCAAAGTTGTTCAGAATGAGGAGATCTATCATATGACATGAAGATCTTGTGTTTTTGTGAATATATGAACATGTTCTACAATTTGAGGTCATTTTCTATAGCAGTGGTTCTCAACCTTTTTTTTTCCACTAGGCCGCACTATGGTCCAAGTGCAAGTCTCACGGGCCGCACGCATATCATTTACATATGTCACCAATACAAACCAACCAGATTTATAATGGCCTATTATAGCCTAAATATTATATCATCTAATCGATTACATTCATTGAAATAAATAATTATACTCACCATTAATTAAGCACCTGATGCTGTCGGGAGCTGACCAATTTTGTGAAATTCGGCTCGAAAGGAGTAAGAGCACAATGAAGTTGCGATTGTAAGTTGCAGTCTGTAAGCCGCGCACGTGCGACATTGCAGAAAATGTGCGTTCACAAATAGCCTATGTTGATCCAAATATGGAAAGCACTTTCGAATGTAATAATCTGAGGTTCTCTCCAGAGATGTTTTGCCACATTTCTGCAATTAAGGATGATTGCTGCATATGGGTGTTTCCTTTTGCTTGAATTAGGACCCGATGGGCCCCAGCTTTTTTTACGCCCCTAGGGCCGGCCTTCGGGACAATTTTCACGTCATAGTTCAGACGCGGGCCGGGCATCAGGCTTGTTTCAGGCTTCTCCTTATTTTTATATTTTAGACAAATCAATTAGTGATGATTTTTTTTTGTTGCTGCGCTGGTAGAAACAACACGAGACCGTGCTGCCGTGACTCGCAGCAGTGAGCGTGCCATCAGCGCAGCTGAACAGTTCTGCGTTCAAATGCACGCAATAGGCCAAAGCACCGGCAAAAGTAATTACCATGAATGTGTCAGGGGGAAATAGTAAGGAGATTATTTACTAATAAACTAGTGTTTTCTGAGTGTGTCGCAAGGATGAAGTTGCCGATCCTGACTTGCCATCTCCAGGCGGAGCTTCTCTCTAAAGGCGTGCTGAATATTATTTGTGCTCTATAGTATATTCACTATACAAGTGAAGTGACATGTGGCCAAGTATGGTGACCCATACTCGGAACTAGTGCTATGCATTTATCCCATCCAAAGTGCACACACACAGCAGTGAACACGCACACCGTGAACACACACCCGGAGCAGTGGGCAGCCATTTATGCTGCGGCGCCCGGGGCGCAGTTGGGGTTTGATCCCTGCCGGTACGAGACTCGAACCCACAACCTTTGGGTTACGAGTCCGACTCTCTAACCATTAGGCCACGACTTCCCCAGAAGTGCATCTTTATTTTTTTGTTTTTGATTTTTTTCGTTAAGTAGTAATTTAAAGCTTTCTATAGATATATTTATCATGTCTGTGTGGCATGTATTCGCTGAGTTTCGGTAAATTTTTGTAAGCGCTCCTGATTGAAGACAAGACGGCAGAAAGCCGTTAAAAAAAATATTTAACGACCAAAAAAATGCTCCAAACATTTTTCTAAATTAACTTAAAAAAACGAAATGAAATATAATCACTTTGCCATTACATACAAAACTGAACTATTTTAATATCGCTGAAACAGTAGTATAAGCTGTTTTGGGTATAAAAGATGGGCTCGGGTCGGACTCAGGCTGGTAATTCCGATAAGCTGTCGGACACGGCCGGGCTAGGGCCTATATTTGAGGCCCGTGCAGGGCTCTAGCCTGAACATCTTCAAGTGAGTGGCGGGGCAAACCGAAAGTCCAGCACTCTCCTTCACTGCTGATGCTGTGACTACTCTTGTTTGTATGTGTTCCTACGCTGGCATTTTCCACTTTTCGTTTTTCTCCCTTAACAAATGTGTCCATTCTGATGCTCAATTTTACCGAACTAATGGCTGCTGATGACTATTTGAATTGAATTCTGCCAAAGTGCGCGCTTGTAAGTGTTCGTTAAATGCGTAACGTTAATTACGTGAGTACAGGTCTGCTCATGTCTGAAAATAATATATGAAAAACTAAATTATTTTACATCATAAAAACATTATAGCTTATATTTGTTTAGTAAATTTTTTAATTAATGTGTTCAGCATGGTGGGCCGCA